TGTTGAAGAAACACGCTACAACAAAGTGGATTGAAGAATGTCAGACTGCTTTTGATGCTATCAAAAACTATTTATCCAACCCTTTGGCATTGGTTCCTCCACGAGAAGGGAGTCCATTATTGTTCTATTTTTCCATCTCAAATAGTGCATTCATATGCGTACTTGGTCAACACGACATGAAAGGAATAAAGGAGAAGGCTATCTATTACATTATCAAGAAGTTTACTCCATACGAGTCTCGTCTTTGTTAGAGAGGACATGTTGTGCTTTGACTTGGCTTGCACAACAATTAAAACATTATCTGTCTTCTTATACTACATACCTCATTTCAAGAATGGACCCGCTGAAGTATATCTTCCAGAAGGCGATGCCGACCGGAAAATTAGCTAAGTGGCAAATGCTGTTGAGTGAGTTTGATATTGTGTATGTGACTCAGAAGGCGATAAAAGCACAGGATTTGGTTGATCAGCTTGCAGAAAATCCCGTTGATGAAGAGTATGAACCACTTAAGAATTATTTTCACGACGAAGAAGTGTCATTTGTGGGTGAAGATATTTCTGAAGCATATCCAGGTTGGATACTACTTTTTGATGGAGAGGTAAATCATCAAGGGAAAGGTATTGGGGCGGTCTTAGTATCGAAATCTATTCAGCACTATCCCATGGCAGCTAAGATCTGGTTTAATTGCACGAACAACACGGCTGAGCATGAAGCTTGTGTTCTTGGTTTGAAAGTGGCCATTGACATGAATGTGCACGAGCTATTAATTATTGGAGACTCGAATCTTCTAATTCATCAGGTTCAAGGAGAGTGGGCTGTGAGGAACCCAGAGATTATACCTTATGTATAGTATGTACAGAAGTTGTGTAAATGTTTTTGCAAGATCAAGTTCAAACATACTCTCAGAATACAAAATGAGTTGGTTGATGTTTTCGCCACCATTGCTTCTATGATTAAACATCCGGATACTGATTATATCGATCCTCTAGATATAGAGTTGAAAGAATATCCGGTACATTATTCACATGTTGAAGCAGAACCAGATGGTCTTACATGGTATTTTGATATAAAGAGTTACTTAGAGACCGGAAATTTTCCTGAAGATGCCACATCCAACCAAAAGAAGTCGATACGCCGTACGGATCTTAATTTCTTTCTGACTGGAGAAATCCTTTGTAAGAGGACTCCAGGTTTGGGTTTTCTAAGATGTGTCGATGTTATTGAAGCTGCGAAACATATTGAAAAGATACATGCTGGAGTTTGTGGCACGCATATGAATGGGCTAACTTTGGCAAGAAAGATCTTTCGAGCCGACTGTCGAGAATGATTGTTGCAAGTTTGTGCAAAAAAGTCATAAATGCCAAGTGCACATTGATTTGATCTTAGTGCCACCTCACGAACTTAATGCTATGAGTTCACCTTGGCCGTTTGTAGCTTGGGGCATGGATGTCATCGGTCTGCTAGATCCAGCCGCTTCTAACGGACATAGATTTATTGTGGTTGATATTGATTATTTCACCAAGTGGGTGGAAGCAGCTTCTTAAAAGTCAGTAACCAAGAAAGTTGTGGCTGATTTTGTTCGCAAAAATCTGATATGTAGGGTTGGAGTACAAGAATCCATCATTATTGATAATGGTGCGAATCTTAACAGTCACTTCATGAGAGATATATGTGAGCAATTCAAGATTACTCACCGAAACTCAACTGCTTATCACCCTCAAATGAACAGAGCTGTCGAGGCCGCCAATAAGAACATTAAGAAAATTGTGAGGAAAATGATTGACAATCACCGATGTTGGCATGAGATGTTTCCATATGATTTATTGCGTTATCGAATGACTGTCCAAACATCGACTGAGCTACTCCATACTTGCTGGTATATTCCTCTTTACAATAGAAACTGGGACAGAATTGGAGAAGATTTTTCTTTAACAAGTCAAGACTGAAGATATTTTGAGATTTGCAACTACGATAGAATTTTTGAGAGGATCTCAAAAATTCTGCGATCTACCCAGTTATAGTTGAAAGATAAGCAAGATAGTTAACTCGGACAGAAATTTTGAGGATGGCCTCAAAATTTCAGCATGGGTTTATCTACAAGTCTAGAGTGGTTTTCAATACTCCCATTAAATAATCAGATGTACCTCCAAGCATCAGTCTCAAAGAAGTTCTCTAAGCCTGATGTGACATGACACTTGCAGTGACCCTTTTCAAAATATTACTTCTCTAAAATTTATTTTCCTGAAGATTTGCCTTTAATGTTTCATTTGTTTTGGCATAAAATATTTTGTATTATCTATTAAGAGTTGGGAGATCAGGAAAATCAACTAGAGATAGCAGGACAAGAAGAAGACATTTGAAGAATCGACACATATCGGTCTTTTTTAAAACATATGATTTTTATGTGGACGCAAGTTTATGGCTTTGCTTTGATATCAACGAATTCCTCCGATCGATGAATATGGAGAAATCAAGGGAGGAGAAAGCTCTCCCAATATTAACAGTTCATATAGATGCAGGATTTATCTTATATTGCTTAAATCGGAGACTTAAGAATATGACTAGTTTATTTTAGTCAATTTCCAACAACATGAAGTCTATAAGGACCGTCCAACTAGATTCGAAGCTGAATGAAGAAAAAATCTCAAGAAAGAGTTTATGGTTTTAGTAAAGGACGTCATCTACATCACATTATAAGACAAGATAGTGTTGTACTCGGTGGGAGTCATTTATTTCAGGGTCGATCAAGACGATACACTATCCGGAGGAGTCATTTATTTTATTTTTCGATCAAGACAATATATTATCTGGAAGTCATTTTACCATTATCGTCAATTGAGACGATATGATTATCTAGAAGGCACCAAGAAGATCACTATGTTGCTCGATTGAAGCACTATCTTCATTTGGTACCAAGGATGACATCAAGATTTAATATTCATGCATCACAAATCATGCATTGCGGAAGATTATGCATCGCCTGTCAATATTCATGCATCGCGGAAGACCATACATCGCGAGTCAATATTTATGTATCGCAGAAGATCACGTATCACGAGTGAATGTTCATGCATCATGAGAAGACGTCCATGCCTCACAGAAAGTTATGTATCACGATAATATTTTATACCCCGCGGAAAGTTATGCATTGCGAGAAGATTTCATACCTCGTAAAAAGTTATGCATCGCGAGAAGATATTCATACCTTGCAGAAATTATGCATCACATGTCAATATTCATGCATCGCGGAAGATCATGCATTGCGAGTTAATACTCATGCATCACGAGTTAATATTCAAACATCGCGAGAAGATATTCATACCTCGCAGAAAGTTATGAATTGCAAGAAGATTTCATACCTCGCAGAAATTTACGCATCAAGGGAAGATATTCATGCCCCGTAAGAAATCATGCAATGCCAGAGATGGAATCGTGTATCTCAAGGGAATATTTATCCCTTAACATCAACTACATCTTTATTTGGCAAGAGTGATTGCCAAGAGAATCATCAAAAACAACGAATAAAATATCAACATTGCATCAGTTTTTATTTATTCTGACATCAAATAAAGAGTACATGGAAGATTATATTGCAAACACAAGACATAATCTTTATTTGCTTTACATCAAACCGATCAAGGTGATGTCAAATGAAGAAGGAGAAGAACTAAGTATCAACACGGTAAAAGACACTATCTCTTATTTGAATTGAATTTTTAAGCTAACGAGTTTTTATTTCAGTCTTGTCAAGAATATCCGAAAAGGATGAATTCTCCAAAAACCCACAAGTACGAACGTCGTCAAAAGGGACGCAGCACAATGTGGAACTTTTTCTTAGCAGCGAACTGGGACATATTCCAAAGAAGAATGTCAAACACTTAGGATGTAAGTAGAAGAGAGACTTCCACCACAATCAAATTACACCCCTATCATAAGGCATGTGTGTTTTTCTTCGGTTTTTCTCAGTTTTGATTTCAAATTCGGAAATTTCAATCAGCCGGAGGCAAATTTCCAATCTGAGTGACAATGCGCCAAGAACTTTGGAAATTAAGTCTGTCTAAGTTCTTAATTATGGGTGTGAGGTGCACCACATTCATGACTAAGAGATTACAAGCCTCTTTTTCATACTCGATCTATTTGTCTCTTTTGAAGGACCAAAGGTTATCTAGCATACTACATTTTCTTTTCAACCGATCAAGTCAAAATACAAACAGCCTAATTCCTAAGGTTTAAGGATATGTAGGCGGGTTGGATGCTGAAAAATCTATTGTATCCCAACATCCGCTCTTAAATACTATTCTCGAGCATTTCAATCCCTTCATAATTTGGTACCGAGATGACTTTTGAATTCTTTCAAAATCGTGCATTAAAACAAGTATCGAACTATAGGTGGCCTGAATTCTCACATATCCTGAGATATGTAGGAAACCACTTTCCGTGGTTTGGCCATGATTCCCAAAGTCCACGCCAAATCCCTTTCCCAAATATGAATACGAGGTTGGTCAAAATTGGTTTGGTCAATTTCATTCTCAAATTTCTTTCATCAATCTGAGTAAAAATAAGGACAGTTGTTGACACCCATTTGTGATCCTCCCCGATAATAGATAATTTTTTAGCTTCTTCGACTTCAAACGATCTAAATAATTAGTTTAACAAAATTTTTAAGAAAATATAAAATTTGCAAATTATGCTAAATAATTTCCGTCATTTTTAATTTATTGGAGTAATATATTTGTATTCTATAAACATTTCAAATATAATCTCAACATATTTTATTTTTTAGTAAGCTTTTATTTAATTAATTTAGTTTAAATTAAAGTTATATTTTCCGATCACTATCTCGCATTTAAATTAATCATTTTATGTCATTACGAATAAGAACTTCTTTAATTAAGTTACCTGAATTTGTCTCGTTTAAGTTACGGCCAATAAGTAGTTAAATCAAAATTTGGATATGACTCAAAAATCATTTGAAGGGCTTCTTCCTTCGGCAGTAGTAATAAATACAGAAACTATAGCCCACTCCAATTTCCCATCATTTCTCAGCCCAATTCTTTTCCTAATGCTACCCCAGCCCAATTTCTCGGCTCACTCAGTAACTTTTGACCCGACTCGGCCCTAGCTTCACTTTCCCTTACGATAAAGAGACCAAAACGTGACAGCAGTAACAAATCAACAATTCCAAAACGGCGTCTACACGGCGTGAGGACGACATTATGAGTAGCCTCTTCCAACGTTCACGAATATATGATAAATACATGATAAAGTTCACGTCTGCGTGATCAGGCATCGTTTTCTACTTTTTTTGATCCCGTATGGTAAAGCCGCCTGCCATTTTCTTCCTCACAGCGTTATATCACGCCACATCGAGAGTCCACGACGAAAAGTTGATCAAGAGCATCCATCTCCCCTTTTATCTTCCAAAATAGTTTGAAATCTTAAGAAAAGGGTGTCTGCCTTTTTTTGGTGAAAAGCCTTTGAATTTCTAGCTAGCGATTTTACCCTTTTCCCTCCCAAATTTATAACCCTAGTAGCCCCTCTATATGTGTTCTTTTTCTTCTCATTGTGGGAGGAGGTTTTTTTTAGCAAGAGAATTTTGAGGAGGAAATTTTGAACTAATAGAAAAATTAGACAGAAAGAAAAATTGTGGATAATAGTAAGAAAGTATTAGCTAAAAAATCAGGAAGATATTCAAGGCTGAGCTCGTTCTAGTTCAATCGAGAACTCCTATTCTCACTCTGTTCCCGTATCGTTAGTTTATCCTCACTCAAGGCTTGATTCGTTATCTTTTCTCGTCTTTGTGTCCCACTTTCGCTGCTCAAGGAAAGGTAATACTCTCTCCGTTAACTATTCTCTTTGTCATTATTTTCTGATTTTCCTGTTGATGTCGAAAATCATCACTAGGTTGGTTGTTTGCTAATTTGTTATCGATTGTTCAAAATTTTGTTTCGTTGATATCTCGTAATTGATTTTGTTTCTCGAATGTCATCAAACATATTTCATTATATAATACTCAATCTGCATCTCAAGTTGAGCAAATGAGTTAAGATGTCTATATTCTTAATTGGTTTGTTGATTTAACTATTGGTCAAAGTTCTTGTTGCGCCTATTACTATTTTGTATTCTTGGTCATTATATCAAGTTATTCTGGAAGCGTAGACTTTATTTCCATTCCCCAAAATGATCTGTATATTTCCCTTTCCAACTTTTTTCCTAAGAGCAATTAGTACTGCGTTTGTTGTTCACTTTTGTATGCAAAGGCTATACGAGCCTTTATTGTCGATAGTTCTTCTTTTTCATCTTTTTTTACTATTTGTTCTCTTTTTTTTTTTTTTTTTATGTAAAGGCCATAGGTAATTCTTTGTTTATGTGCCTTAATTAGGAAATTTGAAGTGGCCTGCCTATTAATTTAAAGGTGTAAAAATTAATTTGGTAGTCATACATCGCATGGTTGTTCAATGTTAGCTTCAACGCGTTAAAAAATATATATGTACTTTTATGCATATTTTGAATATGCTAGATGTTAGATGTCGTTTTATTTATTCCTCCGTGAACTGATTCAGTGAATTTGGGTTTATGATTTGCCAAATTTTGAAAACAACTAATTTGTCAATGCATTTTGTCTGAGGTATTTGTGCTTTAAATTCTTTTCATGATGATGTCAAGTGCGCTCTTCTTATCTTTTAAATAGGAAGAGTCATTCGGAGTTGATGTTGGATATGTGTATTGTCTGCAAGTAAGTTCATTTGATGAATCATTATGACGTATTTTTTTAAAATAACTATTCGTTCAGTTTCGTGGTACTTTAGGAGCATGCTTTAAATTTTGATCCTTCGGGATTCCATTAAATGATAGGAACAGAATATACTTGTGTGTTTTTATGCTCATTTTCATTCAACTGGGTGTGAAATTTTAGGTCGGAGTCAAGGGTCTTCAGTTAATTAAAAAGTTCATCGGTGGAGTCTTGCTTCTGTTCGCTATTCACTGCTATCTATAGGAATTTTCACTTGTATTAAGTTTAAATTATTTGACCTCCTCTTTTACAAAATAGTCGATCTTCTACTCACTTTTTGTTTATTGTTATTGCATGTGGAATTTGTCCAACTTCATCACGAACTCATTCCATCCCTGCATTTGAAGAAATCCGCAAAGGCTTAAATTTTTTCCATTTCGAGTCAATCATCCCGTAAACCGATGAACACATCATGGAGCGAAATTCGAAGCAAACCAAGGAGTGGAAGAAGTTGGGCCAAGAAGCCCACATTATTTTATTCTTTGCTTTGTATTTTGTAATTTTGGGTCTAAGTCCTTGTAGTATATCTGTTTTGCATTTATTTTTGTAATAGGCTTAGGACAGGTGGAATGGGTCAAAGTCCCAAAAAGACAAATGGGTAAAAGACCCAAAACATGTGGGTCCAAATTTTTTATCCATGCAGACAGAAACCGGTTTGGACCCAATCTCTCTCTCTCTCTCTCTTTCTCTCTCTCCCTTTATTTGCTTAATTACTTTTCATATTTTTCGTTAGTTGTAAGGCTAAGGAATACATATCCCCGCAAACTCCGTAAACATTTTATCAACTTAAAACTAATTTCAAACCGATTCTAAAAGAGTGAATAAATTCGCAAACCAATTTTAAGATTAATTACTTTGTTTCAAACAACTCTAAACAATATTTTATTTCAAAATAAATTAAGTTTTTAGTCAAATAAGTTAGTTCTCGGATAACCATAAGTTAGCTGACGTCTTAGGTGCTTTCAGAACCTTCCTAAGACGTTAATAGGAATCCCCAATCCTTTTTAAATATTTTCGATGGATTTTTCTTTCAAGTCTTTTGAAAACGTAATTTTCTTGATTTTTCTTCAAAAATTAAGTGGCGGCTCTAAAAATGTCAAAAACTTATAAAATATAATATTTTCCTTTTTTAAATAACACACATTCAAGATCAGGTATTATTATTTCTCAACGCAAGTATGCCTTGGATATTCTTGAGGATACGGGAATGAAGGGATGTAGACCTATTGACACTCCTATGGATCCGAATGTTAAACTCCTTCTAGGACAGGGGATCCACTTAGTAATCCTAAAATATATAGACAGATCGTTAGAAAATTGAATTTTCTCACATTAAGTGGACCTGTCCTTTCTTTTCCCGTCAGTGCTTTAAGTCAATTTATGAATTCCCCTTCTAATAGTCAATGGGAAGAATTTGTTATGATATATAAAGTTAGATCCTAGTAAAGGACTACTCTATGAGGATCAAAGCCATGAGCATATCACTGGATATACAAATATTGATTGGGGAGTATCACCCTTTGATAAAGGTTCAACATTCGAATATTGTGATTTAGTATGAGGTAATTTAGTGTCGTAGAAGAGTAAGAAACAAAGTGTGGTTGCTCGATCTAGTGCGGAATCAGAATATAGAGTAATGGCAGCAACAACTTCTGAAAAAGTTTGGAACAAAAAGTTGCTGGGAGAACTAAAATTTGGCAAAATTGATCAAATGGAACTTGTGTGTAACTGTCACGCCCCGAGCCTACACCACTAAACGTGTTTGACACCCAGTGATTAATTCTGGTCTTGATAAAACCCTTGTCCTGACTTACTTAACTCAATGGAAGACTTAACTTAACTCAAATATGAAATAATAACATTATTAAAAGAAATACTTAAAATATAATAGTTTGGCCAAAATAGAACTCAAATTCTCATAGCAAAATCTGCAATTCAAAGAAGAGACTCAAACTAATTACCTGATTGTCTATGAAGCCTCTATAGCACGAAGATGGATGTTGAGACAGAACCCACAACATCCTACAAATTAAATAATAGAAAGAGAATAAAAGTGTCCTTCAGAACTCAAGGAGGCTCATCACTGACTCCGAATGCTCAACTGGATCAACAAGGCATTGGGTGCTAATCCTGGTTATCTGCGTCTGCATCATAAAGAGATGCAAGCCAACTTGAATAAGTACATGGAATTTACGAGTATGCGGGTAAGAATGCTAAATAATAAGTTAAAACTTGGAAGAATTAAGAAGAACGTATCTTGGCTCTTCTCAACTCATGAAATACTAACTCAAATATAAAGCAGTATGGACGCATGAAATATATATAATAAAACTTGTAAAACCGTGTTAACAACTTATTTTCTTAAAGATAATGCAATAACAAACTCAATTTTTTTATAATGAAAGTAATATAATTTCGGTGGGAGATTCTCTAACTGAAAACAATCGGCATGAGCCTAAGAGATGGTACAACGTCTTACCTCACGTTGCAAGAGGACCGCTCTATACTATGCCGTCGGTATAGAACCTGAACTGATAAGTGGATCTACTAGTGTATGCTAAAAAACACTAAGAAATCATCTAAAAAGTATGATCTTTTCTCTGTCCATGTTGGCTACATAGTTTATGAAGACTTGAGTTGTAATGAACTCGCGTCCCTTTATCGGTTCTCAATATTAATCCCAAAATATTTAGCTCATGTATGTGCTTTTCAAAAACAACTTCTTCTATTGTTTGAGGTAATAACTCAAAACTTAGATTCAAAATCTCTCCTGGAAATCATAGTTTCCTTTTTCTAAAACTAGCCAAAGGCTATGTGGAAGTCTAGCATACTTTATTTTCTCAAAATGTGAAAATATTTATAACACTTAGGGACTACTTAGTTCCCGAATTGATTTTTGAGAATTTCAATAACTCTTTAATCTTTGCTTTACTTGAATATTATCTCTTTGGGATACTTACTCCCTTATAACTCTTGAGATTTAACTTAACTCATTACTCTTTGCTCAACTTGAAGCTTGAGTATCAAAGCAAAGTTATAATGTTTGTTTAAAACTCTTAAAAACTGTAAGAACATTTTTTTGACTTGCTTCTTAACTTTTAGACTTGACTATTAACTTCTTTGACTTGGATCTTAACTTCCCTTTAATTGGCTTATGGATTCAAGTATCATGATCTTATGTTTATGGATGATTTAATAATGTTTTGATGTACCTTAGAGTGTTGGAATAAACTAAGAAACGTAGGTACATCACTAAGGAACTAGTACGAAAAGATGGGGGGAAATGGGGTCTCTAGGTGACCTTGGCGCTCTAAGAAGAGTGGGGCACCAGAGCCTGACAGACAGACACTATTGTCAGCCAGTCTAGTTGGCGCGCCGTGCTAAAGCCTGAAAAATAGAGGCTTTTCTGAGGGGCTCTAGTTGTCGCGACACCCCAAGGCTTATCAGACGGGATTTTTATTTTTCTTCTCCATTCTTAAAAGAAATACTTAAAACATAATAGTCTGGCAAAAATGACACTCAAATTCTCAAAGCAAAACGTTTGCAATTCAAGGAAGAAACTCATATTGATTACCTGATTTTCCATGAAGCCTCTACAGTACTAAGATGGATGTTGGGACAGACCCCACAACATCCTATAAATTAAATGTTAGAAAGCGAACAAAAGTATCCTCTAGAATGCTAGAAGGCTCATCACTGACTCCGAATGCTCAACTGGATCAACGAGGCATTGGGTGTTGATCCTGGTTACCTCCATCTGCATCATAAGGCAATGAAAACCAACTAGAATAAGTACATTAAATGTATGAGTATGCGAGTAAAAATGCTAAATAACAATTAAAGCTCGGAAGGATTAAGAAGAATGTACCTTGGCTCTTCTCAACTCATCAAATACTAACTCAATATAAAGCACTATGGACACATGTAATATATATAATAAAACTTATAAAATAGTGTTAACAACTTAGTTCGTTAAAGATAACGCAATAACAAACTCAAATTTTCTTATAATGAAAGTAATATAATTTCTGTGGGAGATTTTCTAACCGACGACAATCACCATGAGCCTAAGAGATTGTAAAACGTCTTACCTCATGTTGCAAGAGGACCTCAATATACCTTGTCGTCGGTATAAAACCTGAACTGATAAGTGGATTTACTAGTCTATTCTAAAAAACACTAATGAGTCATTTAAAAAGTAAAATCCTTTCTCTGTCCATGTTGGATACATGGTTTATGGACACTTGAGTTGTTATGAACTCACGTCCCCATATCAGTGCTCAATACTACTCCCAAAATAGTTAGCTAATTTTTTTTTAAAAAAATGACTTATTCTCTGGTTTGAGGTATATGCTCAAAATTATCTTTAAAAGTTCTTTTGAAAATCATACTTCTGTTCTTCTAAAACAAACCAAAAGCTCTGTGGAAGTCTAGCTTCCTTTATTTTATCAAAATGTAAAAACATTTGTAGTTCTTAAAGACTTCTTAGGTACCTTATAGATTTTTGAGAATTTCAATAACTCTTTACTCTTTGCTTTACTTGAAACTTAACTCTTAAGAAATACTTAGTTCCCTTATAACACATAAGGTTTAACTCAATTCATTACTCTTTTCTCAACTTATAGCTTGAGCCTATAAAAAAAGTTAAAATATTTGTTCAAGACTCTTCAAAACTTTAAGACTTACTTTGACTTGCTCCTTAACTTTTAAACTTCACTCTTAACTTCTTTGACTTGGATCTTAACTTCCCTTGAATTGGATTATGGATTCAAGGATCATGATCTCATGTTTATAGATGATTTCATGATATATAGATGTACATTAGAGTGTTGGAATCAACTAAGAAGCATAGGTACATCACTTAGAAACTAGTATGAAAATATAGGGGGAAATGGGGTATCCAGGTGACCTTAGCGCTCTGTTTGGCGTGGGGCCCCAGGGCCTATCATTCAGGATTTCAATTTTTCTTCTCCAATTTTCATCTCTAAACCTTATAAACTCCTACGGATCTTTCCCCAAACACTTAGGATCACAAATATTCTTGATACGCAATTGATTAGACACGTAAAACATTTCGAAAACACAAATAAAAATAACTAATGGTATACTCCAACTCAACCAACAAGATTCAACAATTGTTCATCAATAACTTCAACATTCATCATTAAATCTACTCTAAATGTGTTGCATTAAAAATTTTGTTGCATGGGTGAAAGAACCCAACACAGTCATATCTCACATACGTTATAGTGATCACCCCCAACGAATTCCACTCGAAGATCTAAGCGTTCTTGATGAGTTCTTAGCCTTTTTCCTTTCTCCGCCCTAAGCGTATTTCAATTTTCTAAAACTGATCTAAGGCTTAGTATTACCCCTAAAAACGTTTAAAATAAATTAGTAAATAGTAGGGTGAAAAGACTAATTTACCCTTATCAAATCCGGATTGGACTTTTCTCATTCCAACAGCCCAACTTCCGATAGGCATATCTCCCTCATACGATGTTATACATGCACAAACTTGGTAGCGATGGAAAGATATATTCAAGGGCTTTCCATCCACATCAATAAATTTCCCTAACTTATCATGAGTAAGAAGTTATTACCATTTGAAAATGACCAAAAACTTACTTTAACAGTAAGGAAATTATCCAAATTTGTTTTCCTT